AAACTAGAAAAATCAGATTTAAGTTAAAAATTCAGTACATTACTATCTTTAATGAAATCTTATTAGGTACCATATAGCCATCAAATAACTTTTAGACAACCCTTTGCAAATAAAGCAAAGAACTTCCAAATAAACAGATCATGTGCTACACAAAGTAGTAAATTATTAAAAACCAGATCTTTAATTAACCACTTTTAGGGCCAGGAATGTAATCCAGTAAGTCTGACTCAAGAGCCCATAAAATCCCTATCATTAAATAATTTCAGTTAACCAGGGATCATTTAACTACTAAAGCACAAACATGAAGTCTGCATTTGGAGGTCTCAGGTTTAGAACTCTACTTCTCTTAGTATAGAACATATTCCCACTACATTTTCATAAGGAAATACATTTTCACCAAAGAAAAGGGTCCTGAAAAGCTGTGCATGTTATAACTTCCAGAGCCCTGCAAGGAAATGACACTGGAAAAAATCCAGAGCATTTATCCCTAATTGTCTTTTCACTTTGCCATGTTTTGCATACCCCTCCCAATAACTATGAAGACCCTTCTAAATGTTTTTTCCTTTACATGTGCATATGTATTAGAGACACTATTTCATGTATGAGGGAGTTCTTAAAGGTACATACCATTAATTACTTTTCCTCCCCCAAGTCTGAGTTCTGAAACTGCTCCTTCATTGACAGATGGGCAGCAGTTACAGTAATCGGCAATTCCAGGAAGCATCAGATGTTGTGATCTACATATCAGCAGGTCAAAGGGGGTGCACTCAAGCACTCTGCTTACTGAAGGAAGGTGTTTCGGGGATGCAGAGAGCCACTGTAATATATGAGACAAGTGACTTGACCCCTGCCTCCTTTAGAATCGGTTTATTTAGCAAAACAGCCTAATAAATTGACTATTTTTGTGACCACCATAGACTGCCTAGGGAACTAGTCAATTTTACTAAACCCACTTCTTTTTAAGCGAAGAAATAAATGCAATTAGGACTTAAGTAGATTACTTTGCTGCCTGCTGAGTAACCTTACAATACAGTACATAAAGAGATAAAAATGAAAGCCACTGAAAAAAATGCAGAAAGAGCATTTTGCCATAAATGAAAGGGCAAACAAATTCTTAACCAGAGTAAGGATACTCCATGAAAGGAACACAAAAAAATAAAGGAGGGCAAAAATCAGTCATCAGTCTAAACAGATTTTTCAGAAACATAAAAGGTCAAATTAAATATCAATTGCACAATGCATATTCCAGAAAGAAAAGAAAAAGGAATTTTAAAAAATTCTATGACAAAATGGAAGCTGTAACTGTAGCCAAGGAAGATAACAATTACTAGATGGAAGCAGTTAAACAATCTTTCAGAATTTTATCTAATCCTAAATGATGCCTTCCATCTTTAAGTGGTTTTCAGTTCAAAATAGACCTATACTTAGTAACCAAAATGATTTTTTTTCCATAATAGAAGAGGAAAAGAATCCATAGTCAAGACTGGTCAGCAAAAACATTGTGTATTATTGCTATCTGAAAGTGTTAAAACAAACTTCTAAATCTGTGCCATCCAATATGGTAGCCACATACGGCTATTTAATTAAATAAAGTTAAAAATTCAATTCTTCAGCCACCCTAGTTATATTTCAAATATTCAATAGCCACATGTGGCTAGTGGCTTTAATACTGCACAGTGGATACAGAACATTTCTATCACCACAGAAAGTTCTACTGCACAATGCTTTTCTAAATGGTCACAGAAAAGAGGATATTTTACAGATAAATGACCCCCAGGTCATTATTAACTGAATGCTAAGTAAGTCATTTACATGGTAACTACAATGCTCTCTCTCCCTATAGTACTTCCACTATAGATCATGTCCTAATAGGACAGTTCTGCCCAGACTCTAATAATTTATTCTAGAAACACCAGAAAGACCTCATAACGCCTTCGGTCTTTACTCCCAACTCCCCTCTCCACCAGTTCCACATATGCCCCTCCTCCTACTGCCCAGGAAGCAATATATACAACATAGGCACATGATGTATTTCCTTCAAAGAAAAAAAGAACTGCTTTTAAGTTGGTTAAAAAAGAAAAAGATGGGGTATGCCAGGACCTCTCCTTCAGGCAAGGAGAAAGTTGGCCCGAGAGTGGGAAAAACTGCTCCCAAAGCATCTTTTTCTTATTGACTGGCAACCTGAAATCCACTAGCCTGACTTCGGCATATTGGAGAGACCCTGGTTTTTGTTTTTAAAAATAACATACTATTGCAACTTCATGCAAGTTAATCCTAAATCCAGAATTTGAACCTGAAAATACTCAACTCATCTTAATTACGCCCAGATAAGCTCTTTTAGAATCCTGAATCTGGAACCCATTTCAAGTAACTCTCATTTGTTTGCAGCTCTAATATCCCTAAAATACTAATAATTTTAATGCGCAGAGGATGATAAAGGGAGGAATTACTTAGACAGAATGAAGATGACTCAAGTTTTGTCTTGAAATAATGAAGACAGATCATCTAATCAAAACACCTTTTATAAAACTTTCCAAAAAGTCATACTCAGAATTTTAAGTTCACAAATTTGTTAAGATGAAAAGTCATACATATTTACAAACATTACATATGGTGTTTTTATTAATCAACCTAGTGTTCTAAGAAACAATAGATATTTATTATAATGGCTTTGTCTTGAAATCCCAGTCCAAGTTTTGAAAAGCAGGTTTCGTACTTACTGAACTCTCCCATGACAAATAGAATAAATTTACATCTCTTTTTCACATAGATTCAGTTTAATTTCAAGTTGTCAAAAAGTGTCAACAACAACATGTAAAACCTAGCCGTAAGTTCAAATATTAGGTAACATTTATGCAGAAAAATAGCATCTCTTCAGAAATTTTTATGTGTTTTCAATACAAGGCACTAGAGTTACCTTTGTTACAAACTCAAACACAGGCTTACTCACATATGCTCTTTCTCCCTCCTATTTTCAAATAATCTATGGAATTAATTATGGGTTTTATTTTTCTCCTTTAATTTTAGCTACCCTTTGAACTAAATTTCCTATTCCAGGTCTTTTAAAAATAAAAGTGGTTTCCATTGTAAAGTTATATGTACCCCTTTCTCTATAAAGTTTGACACTGAATTCTAAAATTAACTTATACTAAAAAATTACATGAGCATACAAGATTGACGTAACAAAGAACAATACTTCAACAATTTTGATGTACACAAACTGAGGAAGCAACCCTACTCCTAGAAACCATGTCTGCTTGTGTGTGTACACACATGTCCCCACAAGGGGTGCAGGGAGGAGAAACACTCTCTTCAAAGGGTGTTCCGGGTACCTATAGATTCTAAGCAGTAAGTCATTCCTAAAACACAGAAATACTCCTTTCAAGCAATGTAACTGTACATTTTACTTACTTGTAAATCTTTCTTTAATTTTAACAAATCTTCATTTTCTCCATTTCCAGACAACGCAGCTTCAACTTGTTGGAGTTGAGCTTTGTAGCTTGCCAGCTGCTTTGCTAGATCCTCTGACATCTGGGAAAAATAAAAAGGGGAAGACCATGAAAATGGAACCAAAAAAAAAAAAAATTTCTCCTGTCTGCATGAATTAATTAATCCTTACCAAGTCCATTCCCAACTCATCATTATTTATAGCAGCTTAATTTATTTCTATTATCTTTACTTTCAGTTCAAAGCTGTGAGCCAAACCACAAACTTCAAGGCAAAGATTCTAAAGACATGTCAGACAAATTCAATACAGAAACAGAAAACAAGAGATAAGAGGGAAAAGGAAAATTTCTAATTTTCTTTACACTCCTGTAGCAGGGAAAGTACTGTATTACGCTCAATTAACAGGTTGTTATATCGTCATCAAAAACAAAAACAAAACCCCTAAACTGTTACAGGAGTTGAGACTTCCGAAAAAAATGTTAAACACTTAAAAATACTTCCAAAACCACATATAAGTGGCTCTGGAATTAACTACACAAACAACTCTCTCCACGTGAGATATTCAATTAGTAAGCGCGTGTTTAGAAACTCTTCTCCAGAACAAAAATGTTTAAACATTGTCAATTCATTTTCTTCCACAAAAGAAACAGCACAGATAACTCTCGCATTTAGGCGTTTTAAGGAACATGCCTTTCACCAAATCCGGCTTGTCCTTCTCCTGAAAATAAGATACGACAGAATCCTTTCTCGCTTTAGTAACAAACAGACGGGGTTTCCGGGGACAATTCCCGTCCAACGCCAGCCTGGAGTCTGGAAAGGCTCCAATGGGGTTAGAACAAGCCAGGCTGCTCTCCCCCAGCCACCCACACCTCAAAGCCCGCCACAACTTGCTCCATTACTTCACACCTCGAAATTCAGTCAGCTTCCAAGAAAACCGAAAGCACGAACGGAGCGGAGGCCAGCCGAGCCGGAGCCCCACAGCCGCAGACAGGCTCTTGCACCGAAGGGCCGAGGGCGTCCTTAAGACGCCTCCCGCGTCCCAACCCCACCCGTCGGGTCCCCGGGGTTAGCCGTGTTCGCCGCCACAGTACGGAGGCCCCAACCCCGTCCGAGGCCACTAAGGGTTCAACTCTGGGTGGGAGAGGAGGCCAGCGTTCCTAACACTCTGGCCGGCGCCCGGGCCTCTCAGCGCGGCCGGCTCCACGGCCTCAGGCCTTCGCTTCAACTCAGGAGAGGCCGAGGCCCGGCGAGGCCTTGCTCTCTCCCTCATTGGGTTTATTACCTTGCGTGGGGTTGGGGGCAGGGCGGCGGGAAGGGGTTCGGGCAAACGAGCCCAGTGGTGGCGGCGGCGACAGCAACAACAACAGCAGAAAAAATCTCCGCGGCGACAACAAGGCGACTCGGTCTGAAAAGGAAGAACTCGGTCAGCGGTGAGGGGGAGGGGAGGAAAACCGGGCACTGGAAAAGACAGAGGCGTGAAGCATCGCGAGAGGTTAAAAATCCTCGCGAGACGTCGCTCGACTCACGTGATTCATGGAGCCCTCTAGGCCGCCGGCTCTTACCCACGTTAGGGACGTGAAGTGGGCGGGGTTTAGTAAGAAGGAAATGGCGTCTCTGGGATGCGACAGGCGCCGGACGTAGGTTCGTTTTATCTCAGTTCCGGCTCGGAGTGGGAAGTGGTTGGATTATTTTTCCAAGGGTGGGACCTGTCGGGCCCTCCCCAGGGTGCTAAGAGGTGGGAGGAATGGGGTTCAATGCAGCATTCATAATAGAGGTGGTTTCTCAAAGTGTGGTATCAGCAACATCAGCATTGCCTTGTTTGTTTTTTTACAATAGTTTGTAAATTTTTTTAACAAAAATAATGTATTACAAGTGCGGGTTCTCAACACCCACCTGAGGCCTCTGAAGCAGAAACTGGCAATGGGCTTAGTAACCTGGTTCAACAAGCCTCCCAGGTGTTACCGATGTCCGCTCACCACCGCTCTATATTAATAATGCCTTAGTGGCAGCAAAAAGCTTGTTGTGGCAGAACCTAACAGAGGAGATTGATATATTTAAAACTTATTTTGTTAGAACTTACATGATTTTAATTAAGTTAATTATATGGATTAATATCGCCTGAAAGAGAACAATCTCCAAGTTATAATCTTGAATAATAAGCAGAATGATGTGAATATTTCTGCTTAAAAAGAAATGCACATTGTGCAAACTTGTGATAATATACCATTTCTGGACAGATATACAAATCTATCTAGAGATTTGGAGTGGAAGCCAAATGTTTATCATTGATTACGCTTTTTACTGTTTATCATTTTTTTAAAAATAAGCATATAATTTTTTCCAATTTAAAAAACTATTAAAAAAAAAAAAAGTAAGGGCCAAGACACAAAGAGGCTGTATGACTGCCAGGAAGGAACCTTACCTTGGGGATTGGGGTCTGTTGCTGGACCCTTAATAAAGCCCTCTTCTAAAATGGGCTAACTCTCCTGGACTGTTAGAACATCTTGCTTTAGTGTCTTCTTGCCTTTTTGGTTTTTTGAACTTAACCTTTTGTTCTATCCATACACACACGCACATAGACACACATCCCCCATGATGAGTCAGGTAACCTATAGAGATGGAAACTAAACAAGTTGTGATGATTGGGGTGGCAGTCAAGTTGCAGGAACTGCAGAGGGCAGCAGTGTGTAGCTAGAATTAAGAGGGAAGACAAACCAAAAGTGATATACTTTTCCTTATACAGTAGAAATCTGTTTAAAATATAATTTTTGACAGCTGCTCTTATCTAATTGTGTATTTTAAGGACTAATGCTAGGAGGATCTTACTTGAATGTAAAGTAAACTCTACAGTTGTGTAAAAATTTCTGAAGAAGTCTTCATGAACCCCCTAAACCAGAAAATAAGAAACTATTTAGTTTTAACTATTTTAAACTATTTTAGTTTTCCAATATAGATTTCTTGATAGATTTTGTTTTCAGGGTTGCTTTTAATCTTTCTCTCTGTGCAACATAGATTATACTTGGAAAGAAAACCTATGTTGAATATTATTAGTTATCACAAAGGGATAATAGTACCAGGCACCATTCTAAGCACTTTACATATATTAATTTATTTTTCACTATGATTCTATGTGCTTTTAAAGACAAAACTGGAGCAAGTATAAACTTTGACTAACAGTGTTACTTCAAATAGGTGTTCCAACTTACCGCCTTCTTTGAAGTCAAAATCTACTTTCAATGTCTGATTTCCCTTAAAACATTCTCATTCAAATTTAATCATGTTTATTCTTCCAAAAGAACAGTATCTAAAACCTCTTAATTCTTTAAATCTGGTATTTATTTTATTGAAACGCAGTATGCAAAATTTAAAGAATCCAAATTGTCATATACACAACTATTTCCTTTCACTACTAAATAAAATTAAAGTATACTGCTGCCTTTGGAAATGTGCCAACACGCTGCAGAACACAAAAGTATGTAATAAAGTAATACACATTGGTAAATGGGAGATTGTGTCCTTTAGCTTAGCTTTTATCGTATCCCTTCTTGACTAAAAGTAGGCCCAGATTTGCGCACATTAGTTGCTATCTCTACAAATGCCTAACGTGAGGAATTAGAGATGTCTCCAGAGTCATAATAACTGTCCATGCCCTTTGCCCTTTTTAGTCATAATAGGGTGTTTTGAATGTTTGTGTGGATATTTGCTGCAGGACAAGCTACTGGCTTTTTCCTACCTATTGAGTGTTTTAGGGTTCAGTGCACTGAAAATATATCCTAGTGTGACTCTTAGGTGGCATCATCCATTTAAGTTTGACGGAAAAACAACTTAAGTGGATGCGGACCAATGCAGGTGCCCATCAGTCATAGCAACCCTTATTTGTTCACTGAAATTTGCATTGCTTTGCTAGTCTTAGGATGTGCATTTTCAGCTATTCTGTGGTTCATGTGTACCACTAAAAAAGAGAAAACAAAGATTCCTTTAGTTTGAAAAAGATGATAATCGAAGGCTTTACAAGGATCCAAAATGGCAGGGTCATTGAAAGTTCTTTAGAGCTACAAAAGAAAATTTGAAAACACTTTGGGAAATTTGAATATGGACAGGATATTAGATATTGAATTATGGTTAATTTCATTAGGTATGAAATTTACTTCAGTTACTTAGGAGAATGTTCTATTCAGATATTTAGGGGTGAAGTGCCATTATATCTATAACTTACCTTCAAATGGTTCTGTCAAAAATTACATAAAATGTTGCCAAATTCATTATGTGTGTATACATATAGACACATATACATATATGTACTCATAAGGAGAGAGAATTAAAATGTAGCAAAATATTAACAGTCATTGTGAAGGATATATGTGTTTGTTCATTGTACAAGTCTTTCAACTTTTTTGTATATTTCAAATTTTTCAAAAGAAAAGATGGAGTAAAGTGTTCATAGACTAGCTACAATAGTTTTGGCAGGTGTTGGTTGTGTTGTTGGGGGGAAGAGTAGGGGAAAACAGGAGATAATTCAGGAGAACTCTAGGAGCTAGCAATAGCTTAAGGTCAGAAATAATGTAAGAGATTACAAAAGCATATGTGATTGTCAGAAACAAAAGGCCGCAAAAAACCAGATGGGTCAAGGCTTAGCAGGAAGATGTGGGCGAGGAGGCTGAATCATTCACAGGAGCTCTTTGAAGGCCAAGAAAGAAGGCCTGAGAAAGAATACTTTGACTTCCCCACATGCAGGAGAGTCCAGTGTGCCTTGCCCTCTGATGTGGTAACAGGAGCTTTTTTTATTTTTTGGTTCGATTTGGCTTTCTCATGTAAGTCTCCAGCAGTAGTCTTAAGATAGTGTTTTTAATTCAGAGTTAATTGTATTCATCTGCATTACAGACCCTGAAAGAGTACCCTCCTTATCAGGGTGTTTCCCACCCCCATATTCATGTTGCCTATTTATTTATGTATCTTAGAAAAAACTTATCACAGGAAAAGCCTGGTACATTCCACATCACTTTTATTGCACAGTGGATAATAAAACAATTTTTTAAAAAGGATAGTTGTACCAAACAACCACACAGTAGGGGGATATACATTCCCAGATGTAAAGAGGAAAAAGGAGACAGTTAACATGACTTTCTCCAGAGGCCAGAATGAGCCGAGTTTTGCCACATTAAGACTAGTGGTCCACTCTCGTGCAACCATCATCGCCATCTGTATCCTGAACTTTTTCATCATCCCACACTGAAGCTGTGCTCACTAGACAATAACTCCCCATTCTTTCCTCCTCCTAGTCCCTGGTAACCTCTATTGTACTTTTTTCTTCTATAGATTTGACTAGTCAAGATACTTCATATAAATAGAATCATACAATATTTGTGGGTTTGTGTCTCATTTATTTAACTTGGAATGGTGTTTTCAGGGATCATCTATGTTGGAGCATGAATCAGAATTTCATCTGTTTTAGGCTGGGTGATGTTCTATTGAATGTGTATACCATATTTTGTTTATCTGTTTATCCACTGGTGGACAGTTGGGTTGTTTCCACTGCTTGGCTGCTGTGAATAGTGCTGCTGTAACCATCAGTATAAAAATATTTGTTTGAAACCCTGAAAAAAAAGACTAGTGGTCCAATACAGATGGCATGATAAGATGCTTAACCACTAATTATTAAATTATTAGAGAAATGCAAATCAAAACTACAATGAGGTATCACCTCACACCAGTCAGAATGACCATCATTAAAAAGTCTACAAATAATAAATGCTGGAGGGGGTGTGGAGAAAAAGGAACCCTCTTACACTGTTGGCAGGAATGTAAATTGGTGCAGTCACTATGGAAAACAGTATGGAGTTTCCTTAAAAAAAAAAAAACCAAAAACTAAAATTAGAGTTACCATATGATCCAACAATCTCACTTCTGAGCATATATCCAGAGAAAACTGTAATTCAAAAAATACATGCACCCTGATGTTCATAGAAGCACTATTTACAATAGCCAAGACACGGAAGCAACGTATATGTCCATCATCTGATGAATGGATGTGGTATCTACACAATGGAATACTACTTAGCCATAAAAAGAATGAAATACTACCTTTAGCAGCAACATGGATGGATCTAGAGATTATCATACTAAGTGAAGTAAGTCAGAAAGAGACAAATACCATATATCATCTATATGTAGAATCTAACATATGACACAAATGAACTTATTTACAAAACAGAAACAGACTCACAGACATAGAAATCAAACTTACGGTTACCAAAAGGGAAAAGAGTCTGGGAAGGGATAAATTAGGAGTTTGGGATTAGCAGATACAAACTACTATATATAAAATAGGTAAACAGTAAGTTTCTATGGTATAGCACAGGGAACTATATTCAATATCCTGTAATAAACCATAATGAAAAGAAATATGAAAAAGAGTATATATATATATATGTATAACTGAATCACTTTGCTGCACATCAGAAACTAATACAACTACACTTCAATTGAAAAAAAGGCTAGTGGTCCATAGTCTGATGTGATCACATTTAGCCATTTTATTGGTATAGTGTCAGCAGTTGAAAAAAAAAAAAAGAACTATACGATGGAGATTTTAATGCTCAAAAAACCCATTAGGTGGCAGTGGGGACACAGGCATCTTTTGATGTCTGATTTTTTTTTTTTTTTTTCCTCCGAGTGATGGAGCCTTAGCGAAGGAACATTGCCAAGCAGCTTTGTGGGGGAGACAGGGAAAAACAAACAGCTAAAAAAAAAAACCCATGGTTTATAGTATCCAAGTGATAAAGGCCTGCTAGTCATCTGTACTCATGCCTATTCTTGGTTTTAATATACATGTTTTTATTTGTACTTGGCTATGATTCTTTTGCTAAAATAACTTTATATCCAAAGTCCTTTAGATCACTTTTGTGCTGTTTACAACATCTGTTGTGCAGAACATAAGCTAAAACATAAGTAGGCAGTGTGGCTCATTTTGTTCAAGACCCAGTACATTTAATACATACTTTTATAGTGACATCCTCAGCTTTATACTCACCCAACCCCAGAAGATCAGCCAATAGATGTGGGCTGCCTCTGTGAAGGAGGCTAAGAGCAATTCAGCTGAAAACTGTCAGCCACCAACACTCACTCCCTGCCTCTGGGAGAACAGTCCTGAAACATTCCTGAAGAGGCAATCTGGGGAGCACACCACAGCATCCACAATAGGCAAGTCATCCTTTTCCCATGTCACCCCTATTTTTGGTAACTCTGATGCTGCCTCTCTTGCAGAAGCTACCCATTTTTAAAATTTATTTATTTATTTATTTAACAAATAGAAAGCAAAGCTTCATTATTGTCAATTATGCACAATCAGTATTAGAGTTTGTTCAATACAGAATGAGCCTGATCTTTGCATTCAAAGCAATTTGGTTTAGAATCCTGGTTGTCACCAACAGTGCAAAGTCATGGACAAATTATCTCTCATATTGTACCTTCATTTTTAAAAAATTCTCCAACCCCTTTTTATTTTTGTAACTTCCTAGTTTACAAACGATCTTTTTTTTTCAATTGAAGTACAGTCAATTACAGTGTCAGTTTCTAGTGTACAGCACAACGTCCCAGTCTTGCATATACATATTCATTTTCATATTTTTTCCATTGAAGATTATTACAAGATATTGAGAAGCTACCCATTTTAGAAACTGTGAAACAATGTCGCCTTCTCATCTTGCTTTCCTTGCATTAAAAGCTAATGGAAAAATTTCTCGGCATTTCCTGCAGATGATATTGTGTTTGCTTCAAATTGATATATATATATATGTAATGTATATATTTTTTATGCTGTAGGAGAGCTTGCTTATGCCTAAGCATCTCAGGTAGAAAGTTTAAGCATTTCCATTGTTGAAGATGCTCCAAAAAATTTTGGCACAATTGGTGATTATTTACTCCAGCACATCTAAAGCCAATAGGGCAAATTTTATAAAAAGAAAATCCACTAGGATAAGTTTTTTTTAATGGAATAAATGATATTTGCTGAAAGTAACCTCTTTGCAGGCAGAAAATGCATGATCAGCTATTAATAAATAAGTTTTTAATGTTTATATTTTCCAAGACTTTTTGTCTTCTTTTGTATTCTGTGCTGCTGATGCTCTTATTTTTTTCCCCCAATTTCAGCTAAAGGAATCACTTTTCCCCCTTATAGCAATTTGACTAAATCTACCCCCTAGATGTCTTTTGGATATATTCTCTCTCCTCCACCCCCGTACTGCAGACCAAGCTGTCATCATTTCTCACCCAGTCTGATGCAATAGCCTAAGAATGGGAATCCTGAGACGCATCTTCTACTGCTGGCTGCCAGATTGATCTTTTGGAAACACCAATGTAAGCATGCCCACACCTACCTGTCAAATCCTCTTGTTAGCCCACCATATAAGGCTGTTGGTGAAATGGCCGCAGCCTGCTTCTCGGCCTGAGCCGAGATCATTTTCTCCATGTATAAACCTACCCTGTTTTTCATGCATTACTGCTTTGCCTCTAGTGACTGCTCTCTAGTTTCCTGCCTGGACAGATATGGAGGAATATCTTTAACGACCCAGTTCTGATGGGGCTTTGGTGACTGCTCACCAGCTTTTGCAGAGCTCCTTGCTTGTTTCCCATTTCTGCTCCCTCAGCATTTTTACATCTAGTGATGAACACCCTGGACTATTGGTGTTTAGAATGGAGCTACTCCAGACATCATATCTAAGGGGTGGTGATTACATCTTGTTCTTCTTTGCATCATCAATATTTGGCAAGGTGTGCCTGGCACTAGTAGAATTCAGCTTCCTTGAGAACATGGAAGAAGCAACTTTTGATAGCTGTGAACGTTATATTTGACTTTGGAGAACAGTCTAAAGATTTCTTGCAATTAGCATTATGAAATTTCACTGACTCATGGGCACATGATACCAGTTACCTCATAAGGTTATTACTATAGTGAGATACAAAGAGTTAATGTTTTGAAGCATTTTCTTGGTGGAGAGAACTTCTGACTGATCCTAATTAATGATGTATCTATTTGAAGGCAGTTAAAAGTGATTTTTTTTACATTTGTGTTTGTTGCTAAGGATATGATAGAAAAAACAGGACTGTAATAGCTTGATTATGAGCCCTTTAGTCTATGTATCATTGTTGTTGTTTTTTCAGTGTTACTGATCAGCTGCCTCATCTGATGCTTTTTTCACAGGCAGAGTGAAGCAGAACCACTTAACCTGACCATCAGTGGAAGAACAAAACTCATGTAACTGAAACAAGAAAGTGACTGCAATTTACAGATATATGTGGTCATTTACCTTGTGGGTTATGAAAAGTATTGAACACAGAGCCCATGTTTATATACTCTCGTTTTTGCTGTGACCTGCAAAGTGCCCTGGGCTAAGTCACTTCTCTTTTTTCTGTCCCATCTGGAAAAAAAAAATGAGGATAACACATTTCCTTTATCCTCATAAGACAGACAATTTGATGTGAGTATAATAGCTATACCTACAGTTTGTAAGCCCAGATTAAATGGTCATGGACTTTGGGGGTTGTAATTTATACTTGTCTTACTCAGTTTTTCTTTTGCATTGCTCTCAGGTCTCTAATTTATGATCAAAGGAAGACATGTCAACATGCTTGACTAACAGGTGAAACAGTACAGAGGACCAGGGTTCTGTAGTTCTAGCATGGATTCTGCCTCTTAGCTGTGAGAACTTCAGTAGGGAGACCTAAACTTCAGTAGGCCTTCACGTCCTTATCTGTTTTAACTTGTATCCCTGAGATTCTGTGATTCTTAGTTTATAGGAAGTCAAGAAAGTTGACATATGATCTTCCCTGACTAATTCAGTCCATAGACAATTACTCAGTCCAACCCTCATCTCTCTTTACTCTGAGTTTCTACTGAAGTATAGCAAGGCTATACAGTCTAACCAGTATTTGTCCTCTCATGGTAAGCTCTACTAAAGCAGGGTTCCATGTACGAAATCCCATCTCATCCCCTCCCTCCCTTCCCCAACCCTGGACAACTCCCAGATCTAGGTGTTTGTTGTAGACTCGTAATACTTGCTGGCTAAAGGAGGAAGTTCAGTGACTACAGCTATCTCTTAAGAGTCAACTTCTCCTTTTACTTCTTTTACTTTACAGAGAAAAGAAAGTCATTTGGCAAGAATTTCCTTTAATAACTTCCCCCTCCAGCACACACACCCAAAATTTATTTGTGTTAATTCATCCTTGAAAAGATTGGGAAAATATGACTATAATAAAGTTTGAATCATGTATACAACCAAAAGCATCCTTATAAAGTTAAAGACAAGCCACAGACCACAGGAAGATATTTGCAAAAGAAGCCATAACCAGAATTTTTAAATCCTGCGTATCATTAAGAAAACAGATAAATAACCCAATGGAAAAGTGAAAAGAATGGGGAGGAGGGGGAGAAGATACAAACAAGCAATTTACAAAGGACCCCTAAATGACCAATAAACATATGAGGAATACTCAAACTTATGAATAATCAGAGATATGTCAACAAAAACTCATCAAATGGGAGAAAATCTAAAAGTCTGGGGGAAAAAAAAACCCAGAAAGTGGTTAACACTCATGCACAATGGATGGGAGTACATGTTGTTTTATCCACACTGGAGAGCAAGTTGGCTTTATCTACTGAGGGGGCACTCACAGCAACAGTTTAAAAATTAGATCTGTAATATTTACATGGTGATAAGTCCTACGGAGAAAAATAAAGGACAGTAAGAGGATGGGTAGTACAAAATGAGGGCATAGGTTGTATTCATTTTAGAGCAAATATTCAGGGAAGTCTCATTGAAAAATTGACTTTGGGGCTGATATTTGAAGCGGGTAAGAATTGTGAACCGTGTGGATATCTGGTAGAAGATCATTCCATGAAGAGGAAACACCATGTGCAAAGACTGAGGTGGGAGTGCTCTAGTTTGGGACATGTTGAATTTGAAAGGTCTATTATACATTCCAGAGGAAATGCCAAGACAGCAGTTGAATAGATAAGATACAAATGTAGGTATCATCCCTCTCTAGAATGTAAGCCACATGTGGGCAAGGCCTTGTCACTGCTGTATCCCTGACACTAAGAAAAGAGCCTTGAATAGAGTAGATGTTCGACAAATATTTGTTAAGTGAATGTTGAAGCTACTTGAATAGAAGACAGTGAGAAGAAAACATGGATAAGGAAGGAACACTCACTGGCACTCACAGGCTGGGTGGTAGAACAAGAGCCTGTAAAACAGCCCAAGGTCCCACAACCAAAGGAAGGAAATCCAAGAGAGAATAATGTCCAGAAGCCACAATCGGAGTTTCCATAAGAAAGATGTCAAATATTGCAAAGATCAGGTGAGGTGAGAACTACAGGGTGGCTGTCTTTGAGAGGTAGAAGAGCCTTGGTATCTTTGTGGATGATAGTTAT